GTCGAAGTTGAAGGTTCGCGTGGACTTCCCGTCATCAACCTCAACAGTAAATTCGTCCTCAGCACTGACGGTGTTGGTGGCGGTGGTAAATCCGGTGAGACGAAGATGGGCAAACAAGCACGTGTTGCATGCACACAAACAAACCAGCAAATGCATCGAACAAAGGAAACAAACAAAAGCGCAAACAAAAAAACCAATTCCTCCACACACACATACATACATATACTCACTGACACACACACACACACACACACACACACACAAATACACACACACGCAGAGAGGAGATGCAGACAAAATCGGCACGTACGAGATGATGTTCTTGCAACCACGACCCGTTTCTGACGACGACATTGGGCGAACGCGGCAGAACACACGGATCTTGCCCTGTGGTGGAACGGCGAGCAGTATGCCATGCATCATTGGGATTAGCAGAGGTGTGAACAACGGCACACGCGCACGTGGATGTACGCGCAGATGGTGAGTGTATACGTGAGCAGGACATGCTTTACCACCCACCTTCATTTCCTCGAGCTTGTTGTAGAGTTTCTTCCGCTCCCTGCGCTCGCTCTCAAAGTTTTCCTACATCAACCGGACAAGCCATGCATCCACCCATCACACACAAACAGCTGTGAGCCGCGCTGCAATGGGACGAAGCAAAGAAGCAAAGAAGCAAAGAAGCAAAGAAGCAAAGAACTTCGCTCACTCGACGCACCTGCAAGGTTTTGTTCTCGCCCTTGAGCTTCTTGAGTTCCGTCTTCATCGTCCTATGCTCCTCCTGCACTTGTATCGCCTCCGCCGCCGCTGCTTTGGCCGCCGCCAGGTCCTGTTTCGCCGTCTTGAGCTCCGATTCCAGCGCCGTGACCTTCTTCTCCAGCGCGGCCTTCTCCTCCTGCAGTCCAGACGTCTGGGACGACTTCTTCTGGTCCTGCGCCTTGTACAGCTCAACCTGCACACATACGGCAGCAGAAGCAGCACGCACACACGAGTGAGATGCAACAACAAACGCTCACGCTCCTGCCATGAGGAGGAGGGGAATGGGGAGTTGCAGCCAACGCCAGCAGAAGCAGTGACTGCTTCGGCTATACAGACCCACACCATGACACAAACCCACGACACACACAAACACACATACCTTCTTTGTGAGGTCCTTGATTTGCTTCTCCATCTTGGATGCCTCAAACGAGGAGACGCGCGTCTTGTCGGCCATCTCTATCTTCTTCTCCAACTTGCGGATCTGATCGCAACACAATGTGAACGCCGAAATGAGACATCGATGGGGGAGGGGAGAATGCAGGGCCTCAGAAAGTCTCCATCTAAAGGCACATGTACAAAGCAGACACGCAAACACACAGGCAAAACCAGACAGACAGACGAGCATACACACACACACACCCTACCTCTGCTCGCGCTGCCTCCAAGTCCTTTTCGAGTGCTCGTACGCGTTTGGCATCAGCATCTGGGACAGGAGCGTGAATGTTCGGGGGGGGGGGGATGTTGGTTAGCATGAGTCAACAACGCATGACAGCGGTATCCAGGAGACAACATGGTAGGGCAAGCGTGTACATGCCAGGCATCGTGTCGTTGTGTACCTGTGGACACGGGGCCGCTCCTCTGTCGACCGCCACGCTGATAGAGCACACACACACGCACACACAAGAAATCATACACAATAACATTAAGTGAGCAATGCGTGTGGCAAAACAGAAAACGCCAAGTGAAGTAAATGAGCCCCAAACTAACACACAACAAAGACAGACACACACACACACACAACACAGACACACATACATACACACACACACACACACACACACACGCACGCACACGCACACGCACGCACGCACAACCACCAGCCATCAGGTTCCCGTTCCCCATCATGGTGTGGTGTACGCACCCCGCGGCCGCGGCCCCCGCGTCCGCGCTGCGCCGTCTTGGCTGGTTTCTTCTCGGGCGATCTGGCGGTGGCAGCGGCGGCGGTGGCGGTGTCTTCACCCTCTGCCTCCTGCTCTTGCTGTCCATCGCCACGGGCTTTGTCCTCTTCCTCCTGGTCTGTCTCCCCATCTTCTTGCTGCTGTCCACTCTGGTCTTCGTCTTCATCGTCCGTCTGCTGCGTCTCTTCCTCTTCATCCTCCTCTTCCTCTTCATCTACATCCTCATCTTCCTCTTCATCTGCATCCTCATCCTCATCCTCGTCCTCAGGTGCTGCAGCCCGCTCCACAGATTCCTCTTCCCTCCACTTGGACTCCTGTTGCGACGTGCGCAGCGACTACAAGCACAACGATTGCCGATAAAACCCGCGAGTAACCAGAGCGACAGGGGTTGTTGAGTAAGTGCACGGCGCGACACCCACAGACACACAGACAGACAGACAGACAGACACAGGCATACTTACAGACACACACACATGAAACAGCAGTGTTCGGTTGGGTTGGAGGGCAGCACCTCAATCTCGTCGTTCAAGAACTTGTTCTCTTCTTTCAGTTTCGTGATTTCAGAC